TCTCTTAAGAGGGGGCTCACCCATGAATTACTTCATAATATACTGTTTTTGAAAGTAAAACATAAAGCATAACTCTTACACGCGACAACCAATTGGCCTCGAATTTGGTATACGCATGCCTTTAGTGGTGGTCATGGTATTCTACTGAAAGGGGTCCCATAGAAATGAATTGGTTTGTACAAACTAGGGGTTGGAGGGAGGGGGGGGGGGGCTGCTTTTAAGTTTCATGGTACTCTAATGAAAGGTCCCAATGGAAGGAATTAATTTCTACCAACCATAAGTCCTTCTCCTCGACCCCTTATCGTGATCGCGGTTATAATTCCTTATATCTCAAGAGCGGATTGTCGGAGGAGGGTGATCACAAAGAAACATTAGGGCGTCGTCAAGAAGATAATGTATATCCATTGGTGATATCAAACATTTAAACCTGAATATCCCGAAAACGGTTTGTCGGAGGAGTATACTCACAAAGGCAAAGGATGAGACATATCTTGAAAACGAAGTGTCGGAATAGGGCAAGTGGAACGTCTGCACGAGACACATCTCTGGTTATCCTTATCCAGTAGTCTAAGAAGTGAATATGATGCGTTTTGCTGCCCGTATTTTGATCAAGGGGTCCCGAAATTACTATTTACGCAACGAGCGTTAGAAACTTAATGTCTAAGAAGTGAATTTCATGTATTTTCAGTGATCACGTGCGTTTGGAACAAATAGTGAAACTTATAATTTATATGTAGGTTTTTTTGGCAAGAAGTGAATTTTTGCAAATACTTACAAGTACCAACTATTTAGTTTAAATACGGAAATCATTGAAATGTGCTTACGATTACACTTTTTACTTGTTATACTGGTTGGTACCTAAGTTACCTATTTACTATTTTTCCGGTTTTTTTAACGAGCATGCATTAGTCTACATTGTATAATGACGTGTAATTCTTTTATTAATTAAGAGGTAATGTGTGCTAAATATTATACATAACAGAAAATATACAGGTTGTTTTGCCAAGAAAGGTTAATTTGTTGATTAAACTGATATTCACTTGTTTTTGTGATGTGACCATTGCAATCTTAACAAAGATCATAAAAGTGTTTTGTTAATTTAATGGATGTACTGGCTCCATTAATAAAAAAGCAGTAGTTAATGATGTAACATTTGCTTAATTATTATAATGAAATGTTATAAATGTTACCTTTACAAATAACGAAAACCCGTTTCATAATGTTGTTATTGTGGAGGACTTTTTGTGTGACGTGTTTGCGTTCTTTTTGAAAAAATATATGTTGTTCTTGAGATGTAAGATCGATTACAGAAATAAAGCTTCGTTTATGACTCCTGATGTTTAAAGAGAAATTATATCGGAATTTTTAAAGAATTATCAATTAGTTTACGGTCACAATCGACCATTTCGAACTGAAATAAAATAATTTGGTGGCGCCATCTTGTTTTTTAATAGAAACATACCATTTTCTATTTTGTCTAAGTGCACTCTTTTATTCTGAATTCAAGATTTAATAGCTATCTGTCAGTTTTTGACATATATCAATTTTTCTCCAAAAATGTGGAGATTTAAAAATTCATTTCTTAAACCGTTTAAGATAAGTGCCTTTTTTTATAATCGAATCCTTAAAGTCAAAGCAATTTTTTGAGTGATCATCGAAAGTCTTGAAAAAGAAAAACTGGAAGTGACTCTGGTTTTCTAAATTGAAATGGCACATCCTGTACACTTTTACATTTTTATATTCGGCAGGCAATTTTACACCGGAACGATTTGGCTAATTTATATGAGGTTTGTCGAAAAATAAGTAAATCTTATTTTTCATCTAGGTGGTCTCGAATGGACCAGCTCTATATTACTACCAAAATCGAATTGGTCTAATTTATCCAATAACAAGGATTTTTAACAATTTTGGAATTTATAACGTAAAATCAATTTTTTCAAATAGGATTACCGGGTTTTTTGAAGTGCCATATACCAGCCACAGCAATACACACTGTGTCCACTGTGTGGTCTAATTTATCCAATAACAAGGATTTTTAACAATTTTGGAATTTATATCGTAAAATCAATTTTTTCATATAGGATTACCGTGTTTTTTGAAGTGCCATATACCAGCCACAGCAATACACACTGTGTCCAAGATAAGAATGGCTATCTAGAGTATCTTCGAAATCATGGTTAAATTAGAGAAGAGATGCGCAATTAAAGAGTTTTATCGTGCTTTAAAGAAAACTAGAAAATTCCGATTTCTTCCGAAGATATGCAAGAAAAACCGAAATTTGCCGATGCGTTTTTATTCTGATGTTATTTGAACAAAAAAATTAAAAAAATACCTTCTCATTGCCACTTTTTAAGCTCTACAAGACATCGTTGAGAGATTTTCAGTACAACGTTTCGTTTCGCAGAGATCATCAACCTTATTTTGATATGGCCCGTAAAAAAGGAAACTGTATTGAGTAGCATTTTTTATTACTAATGCAACTATTTACCTACGGCACACAAAAAACAAAAGTTGGAAACTGTTGGTTTCAACAGGATGGTGCACCCGAATGGTGCGAGAATACCTATGGGACAAATTTTTCATTTTCTATGAAATTTTTTCTATACACGATTTGAGCGTCGTGGGCGGGTGCACCATCCTGTTGAAACCAACAGGTTCCAACTTTTGTTTTTTTTTGGATGTGTCGTATCTCGTATTCGTAATAAAAAATGCCACTCAATACAATAAGTACTTTTTTTACGGGCCATATCAAAAAATAATGTTGATGATGAATTTTTTAGTTTTCTTTAAAGCATGATAATATCTCCATAATTGCACATCTTTTCTCTAATTTGACCATCGTCGTATCTTCTATGGATTCCTAGATCCCCATGACAGACATCCTTATCTGGGACACAGTGTATATTTTTCATTTTTTCTGTTATGTACCTGTAAGGGTCTATTATTAATTATTATTTTGATGCGTATTAAATCGGTACCATATGGATGTGCTGTTGCACCTGATCGTTTATTGAAATAAAAATACATCTTCATTTAGACAATCCTAGCAAGTCGAATTGCGTTTCAGGACAGTTCCAATTTCAACGCTGGAGTAATGAATAGTTTGTGCTGTTATAAATGTGTATATGTGGGTCATAAATAATATTTTAACAGTTATATATCAATTCATTTCAAGACTGTTGTAAATTTATTGTTAATTAATTGTAAAATAAATAAATCGCGTAATTAAATTTACGTCACATTATTTAATTCGTTTTTACTTGTAATATCACCCACTAAATTGTCTTCCTTTTATTATTCATACTTTCCATTCCTTTTTTTTTGAATGGATTCTCTACTCCGCCTTCCCGTGGAACTCTATTTTGTTATTATCCGCTCTCCTGGTATGTCCGTAGCACAGTCAGTTTTCTTCAATTAGCTAAATCTATCTGAAGTTACTTCCATTATTCTTCTATTTCTCCCGAAGGCTTCAGATTTTTCTTCACTCATTTGAAACTTGTAGCTCCGTCCCGGGACTTTTGGGAACTCCTGCATATTGGAATATACTTTTCTAACTTCTTTCTTTTTTCCGTGGAACGTTCATTTTTGTTAGTTGTAATCGATGAGACGAGCTGCTCTAATCACCAATAAAAGCCTATGGGTTGAATACTCGGCACACATTATTGTATAAGGGACGGATATTTCAAAACCTACAACCCTGCTCACACATGGAACTCCATTGAACGCCGGACGAAGAAGTAGAAAATTTTTTCATTGACACAGATGACTTTTTATTATTGCGGCCCTAGGGAAACGTGTGCAGGAAAAAATAACTGTATAATACGGAGTTACATTTCCAACACAATTATATGTGAAAATTGCGAATAAAACAAATGATGCAGTTAATTATTCAAGAATCTATATATACGAGCTTTTACTTATTTGTGAGAATGCGGAATAGAAAAGGTCACAAACTAGATTGTAGAGAAACACAATATTACTGGACATATACTTTCCCAAGAACGTCAGCCACCCTTCTTGCAAGGGTATTGATGTTTTAGGGCTTGAAAGACATAGATACGGTGTTCGTCTTCTGTTCCGGAGATGTATGTTGAAGCCTTATATTTTTTCATTGAATTTTACATATGCAAAGATTCGTGCCTGTAATTTGCACATTTTCAGGTACTTCAGTTTAGTCGAAGGTGCCCTATCTGATAAGCAAAGTTTTTTCTAGAAGTCCGTTCCCAGGTTAGTTTTCGCAAAACTGCGTGCAATAATTTCACTAATTTCTACTACAATCTCCATGTTGTATTCAATAACAAATTCGACGATATGGATATCATTTTTGTTGCTTTGTTGGTCAAATTACCGGCAAACTTCAAAACATGATTTTGCACGTACCTATACTTCCTAGTTTCGACTTTATCGCTTTCGTCAGAAAATGCACTATAAGTACAAGTTATTGGTGCTGTAACACTTTATGCTTAAAACATGCATTTGTTAAACTATCGTTTTTAGAAAATGGTAGGTACTTCCGCCTCCTTTACGTCATGCATCGGTCTATACCAGTCCATTTTGCTTATGAACAGGTAAATTTGCAATTTTCAATATTTTTGGATCGTTATAATGCTTGGCAGTTATAGGCATGTCGCCATGTCTCCAAATTTCAGTTTTGAGAAGGAAGCGCTATTATTAATGTGGGAAAATTTTATGTGATTTGATTTATTCTAAATGATTACAAAAGTACTTTGGTTCTTGCGTCAAACGGTAATTGTACCTTTGTGAGATTTCGGGTAGTGTCAAGGTGCCAATTATGACTTTAATGTTGCGTGTAGCAAATTCGCTTATATAAGTAGATACTAACTCATTCTAGATTTTACATGTTAAATGGTTTAAGCCGTTAATATTACGAACGATGTCATTATAATACATGTAAAAGAGAATTTGTTTACAAAATATTCACTCTTGCACAACAATACTAAAATTATGTTAAAAACTAAGCGCAAAGTGGTAATATAGCCAGTAAGTTGTAAGTGTCCTTACAAGAAACAGGTTTAGTCGACGGCTATACCACTGAATCTGTTGAATACCATGCTGTTTAGTAGTTAATTGACTTGTTCTTAGGATTCACCGAAATTAACGCGCGGAAATCACTATCTTAGTGGAGGTGGTGCGATAAAGTATAGTGCATCCCGTTGCCAGAAATATGTATCTATAGAATGAAATTATTCTTCCAGTTTCTGGGGGAGAAACGTATACGATGGCACCAACTATCCAATTTGGACCGGACAGGGTTCCTTTTGTTCAACTTGGGGAGCATATACTAAGATTAGATTTAGAAGAATTAAATGAAGAATGGCGGGAAAGATCACGTATTGAACTTCGGGAAACACCTGAAGTTGCCGAGAGTGCTATGGAGCAACTAAGGACCTTATTAAAGGGTGAGTTTGGAATTATCGTTTTAGACGTCTTTTTAGTAATTGAATACCTAGTTGTTAGTTGAAGGTGAGGTTGTATAATTCTTGAATATATTCAAATACTCGCTTGAAATTAGATACGCAATTATCCTGTATGGGATTCAAATTAGATTTTGAATGAAATATCCGACCTTGGCTTGAAACATGCGTAAGTAAATAAACTGTGATTTTCCGTTGTATTTCATGCCTACAGTTTGGGGAATTTATTTCACATCCGCCAACTTCATATAAATAATTTCGCAATACTTATATCTACTGTGAAATATTGTATTATTTATACCGTATTTAGTTTCTTGGGAAATCATTTTGCAACGTCTCCGGCCGCTCCTATAGTGACAACGTAAATTTTGATAATGAGAGAGAATAAAATATAATATGCACCTTTCCTCCCCTATCGTGTAACACATCATTTTAAAGGTCATAAAATTCCCTTTGCGGGAATCCCCAAAAAAATTTGGTGATCCGGTTATGAATTAATTTGAAAAACCCAAGACAAAAGAAGTAAATTAATTTTACAGATTTCACATTTTCATTGTATAGCATGTATTTTTTGAATGCTCAAAATGGTCTCCATTAGCACAATAATACAGTGTATGACGGTTAGACCTAATTGGCGGATCTATCTGTCAGATAAAGCCAACAGATGCCCGTGTGTTTTAATTAGTTTCAGTTGACAATTCTGTCTACACCACACCTAATACTCCATATCTACTCCTTTCCATCTGTCTTCCAAATGATATTGTAATGGCTTTAACAGAGACTTTCTAATGGAGTGGATTTTTTATTTTCCTGTTAGCTGAGAGGAAGGATTGAGAAATTCAGAATTTGCTAAATTTAGATTTGCGTGGATGCCATAGTTAGCGATGATTTTCTTTTTACGTATTTAAATTCTATAGCGTGGTGGCCTCATAATGAGTTCCGGAAATCGTTAGATCAAGAAAACACATTCTATTTCGCGGAAAGAATGCATCACATCTGCCGTCTTTTCTTGTCGCCGGTGAGTAATCTTTTATGGCCCCTCCATCTCTATCTGGATTTCTAGAATATTCGCTGAAATAGTTCCATACAGCCACTTTACTACTCTTTTATAAACAATCGACGAGTCCGACATATTGTCTACAAGAATAACAGTTCCTGCGTTTTAAAACAGTAGCAAAATAAGATCGATTTGCGCACTCATTCGCTGTTAATAATAACAGATACAGGTTTGCGTGTAATTATTGCATGAACTTAACAACAAAAATGTGCGAAATGATCAAATTCGTAGAGTTACTAATGTATGGTGCGGTAAGCTTGGTCCATAAATTCTGCAATCCTGCAATTCCAGCGAGATCCCGCTCCATTTCCGTACGGGATTAATCCCGCTAAAAGGCTGCGGGATCCCGGTATTGCATTCCCTACCTGTAATGTTAGAGTGCAGTTTCGCCAAAAAGTGTGTGATTTTTCAAGGAACAGCCTATGTAACCTGCATACGTAAAACGATTCCGATTGTTAGTTACTAGAAGCATAGTATAATACAAATAGTAAGCCAACCGGTTCGCGCCAATTCTTGATAATTGTAAAAAGATGTACCGGAATATGCTGCCACCTAGTTGAGAGTAGCTGAAAATGCCCGTCTTAGAAACTACCTTAATTATTGTCACGGAACGATCGAAGCGGGAAAATACAAAACATGTTCGGTAATCGAGTTTAAATATTCTTCCCATATCGTATTCCTATTTCATATCGTCATAATCAAGCACTATACTTACAAGCAGAGCTGGAATGATTACTCAAAAAAGTATTCGAATACTGATTACAAAATACTTTATCATAAAAGTATTTACAGTAATTGATTAGGTACCTACTTTACAAAATTTGTATTTAATTACTGATTACAATTGTAATCGATTTACTTTAGCGTCGTACTCGTAAATACATTAACTACATTTTTAAACTTGCATCTTGCATCCGCACGTATCCATACTTTATTTATCGTTAACGAGTTCGTTGATTCTTTGTTATTACTTATTAACGATCCTCGAGACCGTTCATAATTTTGTATTGCTGTCTGTCTGTCCGATAATTTTGAAAATGGGTACACATATTCTTAAGGTTATAAGAAAGGTCGCCATTGTTTTTCAGCTGAGTAAACTAACGGAATAAAAAGTTACAGCCCAAAATCTGCCCACACCTGAAAAGAAGGTTTTTTTTATAATTTTTGTTGTTTGTACATATGAATGTCCGGTTTTCTGTGTTAGTAATATTCCTTAAACCTCAAGAAACTGCGCAGATGCATAAAAAATTTGCCCCAACTTTTGTATCTGCGCATCCAATTTTTTTATTTGTTAAGATGGGGAAATGAAATTTTGTATGTAAGCACCTCGAATAGAAATAAAACTAATGCCGAATCAAGAAAATTGTATAACGTTCCTGTTCCTCTTTGTATAATCCGCTTATATTTTTAGCGCATTTTCCAAGGAAGGTGGGTGCGCTATTGCAGCCACTTTCTCTGTCCGTCGCCCGTCTGTCCGACCGCGGCCTCTATTCCCACAGTTTTCAAAATATTTAGTTCGTTCTTTTTGCATTCGGTAGCTTATAGCTCTGTCACCTCAATCAAGAAAATCTTGACGAGTAATGTGCGCATGCGCAGGCTGCGCAGTATCAACTTTCTTATTTATTAATATATTTTGTTGAAATTTTAACCACAGACACTTCTAGTAAATGCAAACATATCGTATATAGGAAAAATCAGATATGCACAATGCACATGCGCGGACTGCGCAATGTACTTATTACTTAACTTATTTATGGAGATATTTCTTTGAAATTTTAACCAAATATCCTTTAGTGAAACCAAACGTATCGCATATTGTAAACATCAGATTAATGAGCACATGTGCAATATCAACTGTCTTATTTATCGATATATTTTTTGGAAATTTTTATCACAGGTGCTTCTGTAAAAGCAAACGTATCTCATATTGTAAACATTAGATGTGCGCATGCATAGTTAATGAAGATATATCTTTGAAATATTAACCACAGATACCTCTAGTAAAGAAAAACATAGCGTACATAGCTATGGCCTTTTGGAAAGTACTGATCAATGTCTGGAAAATGCTTTGAAGTTACTCGACTTACTTTTTAGCGCATTTCCACAAAAATAAAAAAAATGCGCTATTGTGGCCACTTTGTCCGTCTGTTGGTCTGTCCGTCTGTTCCTTTGTCTGTCTGTCCCTCTATCTGTCCGTGTGAACGATAACTTTGTTTAGAAATGTCCGATCGCTTTGACATCTCCGTGAGTTATGAACTGAATTGCATGAAATTCAATATGGGCATAGCTTTAGCCATATAATACGCAATGCCACAAGTTGAGTCGAAACGATTCAAAATTCACAGTGCTCTTTTCGCATCTCGACCATTTATAAACCGAATTGCAAACTTTTTTAATTATAAAAGTAGTTACCTGAATGAAATTTAATACATAGGAATAAAGGAAAATCAAACTCCAGTTTCAAAATTTGGTTTTGCGCATGCGCAGTGCCAACTTTTTTATTTAAGGAAGAATTTATAGAAAATTTGATACATAGGCACTTGGAATAAAGGAAAATCTAACGCCAGTTTCAAAATTTTATTTTGCGAATGCGCAGTGCCAACTTTTTTATCTACGGAAGCATTTAAGTGAAATTTGGTACATAGGTGCTTGGAATAAAGGAAAATCTAACGTTAGTTTCAAAATTTAGGTTTGCGCATGCGCAGTTCCAACTTTCTTATTTAGAAAAGCATTGAAATTCTTCTTATAAACTGAAATTGAAGTAGCACGTCAAAAATGGATTGCACACGTGCAACGCTATCTTTAATATTTGTGGCCGGATTTTTACGATTTTCCCTTCATGGTATTCTTATGAAAGGTCCAATGGAAAGCAATTAGCTTCTATAAATTACAGATTTTCTTCGAGACTGCTTTCGTTTTATCTTTCAAGACACTCGATCTAATTAAAATTACCGACGAAGGAACTCTATTTTCTACAAACCGCCTTTCTTCCTCGCGCCTTATCAAAATGGAGACTTGGGGGAAGGAGGGGCTGGTCCTTCATGGTACATGGTAGAAATATAATAATCTATTGCTGAGGTCAAAACGTTAAGAACGAATATTTCGCATGTTGACCAATCGTGTTTCTGAAATCTGTCAATTAAACTAAACCGAAGTTTAAACTGACGTTGTACAACGGGACCTTATGGACGTTTGCACGACAAATTTAAGTGGAGTGTAGCTTAAAATTCATGGCGGCGATTGTTTTTTGTGCGTGAACGAAAATCGTAACTTTGTGCACATATACCACCACATACCTATACGAAACCATAAACATTTCCAATGTTAAAATTAGTTGTCTAGTTGTACAAATAACTAAAAATTTAAAACGTTTGGTGTTGTTTATTTTATTTATTTGGTGTCAAAGCAAACGCTCAATTTTGTAAAATAATTTACTGACCATAGCTGTTAGTTTGGTGAAGTAATCAGTTCTCGACGGGACATGCAATTTTCACGCTGCGTTTTAGGAGAAAAAATAGTTCGCGTTTCAGCACAATTAAATTGTTGAACCAAAACGACGGGGACCGAAATGAGCGCCGGGACCGAATCGGTCTGATCCGAAACAACTTCATGGCCATTTGGTTCATTGGGTTTTAACAAAATTGTTATCGGTAGGTACTTATTCCTCTTTCAGCAACACTCATTTTATCAATTAACCGCACATCTCTATAATCATATGTATTATACTGTGGTATAATTTATTATTCGTCATAGATCATAGATAAAAGCACCTTTTATTTATGATTAGTCGTTGAATGTATTAATCGCAACCCAATATAATTTTATGATGAAGAAAAGGAAATAACTAAACCAATATAGACAACGAGCGACAAGGTCTCTTCCGGTTAACGAGTATTGATCAAAATTTAATCACTTAGTCGCTTGACCACTGTCTACCTACTTATTACTGAAAACAGAATTGGAAAATTCGAAATCGTTCGGGAGTTATCATGTAGGTACACAGACGGACTGACAGACGGACAGAAATCATGAATTCGCTTATAGGAGCTCTTTTAATAATAAAGAACTCCCTATATATTTTATTGCCATAATGACCTTTAATGGAACGTAAACGTGTACTAAAATGAGTGGAACCATTGAATAAAAATTTTATTCAATGGTGGAACGAAGAATTAAATGGAATTGATATTCTATCTATAAAAATAAATGATAACTGTAGCATGCACCTGGCGTGGTATTACAGTAAGCCAGTGTAATATAGATATTACTCTGTTGAAGTTAAACACATTTCATATGGCTAACTGTACTGGGTTCAGCGACATCTACTGAAGGGAAGATTCAATTACAATTGGTAACACCGAATGTTGTATCATGGACGCACACCACTTTACAAATATACCGACTCGTGAGACATCTAGCAATCACAAATATGAACTAACCAAAATTCAAACGCGTTGTTTTACTATTGTGTTATATTATGCTAGAAGTAATTTGAAAGGGGCGTTAATTCAAGAGATAAGTATGGATTAAGTTAGAGAGGAATTGTTCGGGCATTCGGTTTTGGGCTGCTGCAAGTATAGTTTCTGTTTCGGGAGTATTTACGATTCGGAGTATCCGACAGAATGCTTGAAACTGGTCTAAGGTAATTCCCATCTCTGTCACAGATCAAAAATTCACCTCAACCACACCCGATCTCCGGATTTATAGTCCTCCTCTACCACTGAACCATAAAGCCGGTTGTGCTATTATTGTGAAGGTAATTTACAAGGAATTTATGAAGAGCTCATTCTGAAATTCATAAATACGTTTTGAAATAGAAATCTACCTTTCTCCAACGAAGGTATACCGACTTTGTAGTTCAATGGTAGAGCGTTGGGCTATAAAGCCGAAAGTCGGGTGTTCGAACCTCGGCTGAGGTAAGAATTTTTCATCAGTGAGAGAGACGGGAATTTCCTCAGGACAGTTTCGAGCATTCTTCCGACTACTCCGAATTATTTTTTGTTAGTTTGTAAGGTAAATACCGGAGTAATACAGAACAGCTTAAGACCTTCTGCAGAGGCACCTCTAATAAAAGCATTATGCGGGTCACTCCTGTAATTGGGCGCAAGCCTGTTGAGGGCACAAAACAAGAGAGGGATAATAATAATAATATTAAAAAGGTGACAGCAAAATGGCGTTCTTGCTCAGTTGTTAAAAAAAAATTACCAATATGATAATACTACTTTTAGTTCTTTTTCACTGCGTAAATGCTTTTTACCATTTCCTCTAATAACATTGGAAACATCCGACACATCGTATAACCTAAGGGATAATCATTTTCTAAGAAAACTTTTGTTAGAAAACGAAACCGTTGGATACGTTGGGCAATAATAACCTTGCGACGAACTTTCGCCGGAAGTTCGCGCAACAATTGTGGCTTCGGTTAGTCAAAATCTATAGACGGTGCTAAAATATTCTGAAGGCGCACAGCAATTTTCTTAAACTACTAAATGCAAAAGATCTCCCCTAAATTAAGCGTTTACCTTATATAAATTTCGGCTATGCTATGGAGGGAACGTAAGAAATTCCAAGTCGGTTATCTAAATCCAACAATTGGAACTTCTTTAATTAATTACGTCCTTCCCAGACGAGACTCTGTCAACATTCAAGTGTTTTAAGAGCGCACCTTACGGATATAATCTAGGCTTAATCGGAGGCTGTTAACCCATTCAACTAATTACGGTTAATTATATTTATCCAAATAATCGGAATGAAATCTCCAAATTCGGCAGTCCAGCAATGCCCTTTTGTTCCTTGGAAGGTGACGTGAAACGGAGGGGTTTCCTATCACGTTGATATTTTCATTAAACTGCACGACCTTGCCGGTTTAATGCAGGACTTTCGTATACCATTAGAAAACTAACATCCATTAATGGGAATTCAATCTTCTTCCGGGGCAATAAAGCTTCTCCATAAGAGCTGTTGTATGAACATTCAGAAGTGTAAAAAATCGGCATCTTCAGGATCGTTGAGTTTTTGCAGCCCATTTCCCAAAACAAAAACTTGACGCATTTTTACTCGTATATTCCATCTTGATATTGCTACTATGACCTTTTAATGTTATTTATTGTTCTTTTCACATAGCTTCATTAGGTATAGAAACGAAAGGAAGGATTTTAATAGTTTTATTGGCTCTATAATATTATTTTTATTCTCTACAAGAATGTAGAAAGTTCATCTTGTTCTTGATCTGCTTAGTATGCGGCAGGATTGCGAATGAAAAGCACAACATCTGAATACAAATGTAAGATATTTAGGTTTATTCGCTAGAAATTAAAAAAATTGGTCCATTGCGAGCTAACTTTGGGAGGTTAACGATGAACATTCGAGAAAAGGATGCCTTCATTTCCGAGAAAATTGGTGGATTTATTTTAGTTTTATTTATTGTTGTAAATGATTCTTGGGGAAGAGTAGGTTAGACGAGCAAAAAGGAGAAAGGGCCCGTTTCGCTGCCGTCCATCTTGGTAGGAAACATATTCTTCATTCTTCTACAGGTTAAACAGTTAAAGTGTTGGTTCAAATGACCATTTGTGCAACTACGTTAATTAATTTTTATTATGTAGGTAGTTAGTACCCGCATAAATAAGTTTTATTTCGCAATTCATTTTCAAGGAAAGGTCTGTCGTTAACATTTATCATGCATGTGCTTCCGTTCAGCTCATTCAAAACTAACGCTATTATTTTCGTTTTAGGAGAAGAAAATCTGAACGTTCCTTTGGACGATACCGCCTATCTAATTAAATTTTTACGACCATGCAAATTTTATCCGGAGAGTGCTTTTCGACTGGTATTTTAGTGTGCTAATTGAAAAAAACGGGTAATTAAATCGTTTTCTTCTAGATGAAGAGATATTACAAGTTTAGATACAAACATCCGGAATTATCATCTAATTTGATGCCAATAACCATAAAGCATGTGTTGGAGGATGATGTAATTGCCTTTATTCCTGTTAGAGTTGATCACGGCTGTCGCATGATGGTGATTGATATCGGTAGGTGGTTTGATTTTGTGCCGGATTATGTATTTCGTTGTTATTTCAGGAAAATGGAATGTCAAAAACGTGTCCATTATAGATATGTTTAGGACGGTACTTTTGGTTATGGAGGTAGGCTTGATAGAGCCTATGACTCAAGTTGCTGGCGTCCACGTTTTGTTTGATATGCACGGGTTGAGCTTAAATCAAATTTGGCAGTTTACCCCTAGCTTTGCCAAAATGGTGCTGGAGTTTGTACAGGTAAAGGTTTTATGAAATTTTTCAGACTTCACAACTGTGTGTTATGATAGAATAAAAAAAATTAATAAAGAAGTGTCCTAAGGTAAGTTTAGAACCAAAGATGAGCAAGAGGGCACTCAAGTAGTATTAGGTATGCGTAATTATATCAACTACCCACTCAACATTAATTATCTATGTTTCATTAGACGTTAATTGCATCAATAATTAGATGTTCATTATCGGGCAGTTAAATGTGAATTTTCATAAAATCACGTCAATTTTGCATTCCAGGAATCCATTTTCCTCATTAATTTCTTCATCGCCTAGCACACCACAATCCTTAAAATTTTAAATGGAGTTCTACGATAAGTTACATATCATTGGAAAAGCCCAGCATCTGGGGGTCGCAATTATAAGTTAAAAGTTACATTTTGGAAGCTACTCGGTAATATGGAGTGACTCACACAGTCAAAAGCTTTAGTCAAATTTTAAAAAAAGTGCAACACGCATTTTATTAGCTTAAAAACATGTTGGTTAAATTCGAAATGACACTCGCAGTGGATTTACTGTTGCAAAAGTCAAATTGACGGTCGCAAAATAAATTTTTTGCTTCAAAATAGGTCATAATTTGGTTCATGGAGTCGTCGAAAATAGATATGTTATTATTACCTAACTACAGCTCGCAACGGCCTTTTGAATTCGGGAGGGCGTTTTCTGCCTTATCTGTGACAGATAACAACACAAACACGAGTGATCTAATTAATTCAAAATGTAAATAATTTTGCACTAACAAATTCTTCGTAATGACACAAGTAACGTAAATAAAAATCACCGATATCGGTTTCGGAATAGATCATAGATCTCGACTTCAAAAGCTAATTTACAAAGCACAGGTAACTAAATACCTTCATATAACAAACAAATCTGAAGGATAGAATGTAATAAAACCCTGAATAAAACTAAGGTGAGTGAATCTTCGGAGTAACAAAAGTAACGGTCAAAATCCTTCGGTAAGGACAAAAAGATAATGTACGTAGAATCAGAAATATCGCAGTAATTCACAAAATCAGCCATCTCCAACAGGTTTCGGTTGAAATTCAGAAACCCAAATCTCGAGGTGTAGAATTGTCGAAAAAGGTAATGTAATTTGAGTGCACGATGCTAAGTGGTCGTAGTAGGGATCTATGGAACGTTGCAGATTAGTTGGTAGAAAGAAAAGTTATATGATGAACATCCCTCCACCGCTGAGATTGGGGGGGGGGGGGGGCTCTTCACTTTTTTAATAATGTACAACAAATAGTCACTTGAACATACTCGAGCTCGTCAGATATTTTTACTGCATATGCCACACGTGTCTCTGATATTGGAGATTAATCTACCGGTTTGCATGGTGGGGGCCGCTGTACGGGAGGGGGATTTGTTGGTCCGCGATCATATTACTTCTGTTATTCTTGAATCATTTCTTTCAAAATAAAAAAAAATTCCAGCGCGCTCGAAAGTGACATGGTACGGTTATTTTTGCAAATTTGTGGCCTTCCCACTCCCTCACGTCACGCGCAAATTGTCAGATTATAGAAGTGCACACTTTTCAACACGTAGTCAACCCACCTTATTCTAATCTGATCCGCCCCAGTAAATCCCAAAATCCCGTATTGGGCTCCCCTACTATAAGTCAAATAGCAGTATTTGCTTATTATGAACAATTTGAAAGTAACCAATATTAATGCAGTGCAGAATCTTCTCTGAAAGGAACAAATACAGATTGTACGTAAAACAAAGGGATAGAATGAAGTGCAGAAAGACACATAGCGTGACCTCTAGCGGTGGAAATAAAGAACTATCGTAAATGAAACCTATAATACTCAACTTGGTACATCTAAACTAAAAGGGTTTATGGAGGAAATACATTGAGGCCGTAAAAACGTTGAATATAAATTTGGCATATTAAATTGGTAACACTTGGTACACTCTTGTAACTAAGAAAATATAGGGTCATTGTGAATTTTTTTTTATTTTCCCCCAAGCAAATATTCCCAAATTTTGACTTTACCATTTTAAGTTTGACACAAAAAGAGTAGGTATATGTCTATATTACTTTTTTATAGCACTAACGATTGCGGAGATATCGTACTTGTTAAAATGTATAAATCTTCCTCAATTACGAAATATGCACAATATCACTGATAAAGTTGCATACAAAGGTTTTATAATGCGGCCCTCCAAAGTGTATTTTTTTAACACTTGAAATTGGAGAGCCCTGGTCTGTATGACAGAAACATTAATACTGAATGATGCAAATATCTGTAGGAAGCATGTCTGGGAATGCGCGATCATTTTGTTGAATTATACGGAGTGAAGGGGTTTATTAACTTTTTGGGGGTGATTATCTCCTCCAGTGTTGTGGTGTGTCATTAAGAGACATACTTAAGGGGTAAAATGGTACTTCGAGTAGCACTTTGATAGAGTAACTTAAAACTTAACCTTAGGTACATTTGTTGTGTTATGTGTACCTACACAATTGTTATTTCCAAATAAATAAATGAAAAATATAAATTTTCATGAAGTACATACATTTTATTTTAGCGTATTTCGTTAGTTGATTAAACAAGGGCCGTTTCTTATAGCAAATCACGAGAAGTAGTCTAGCCAGACAAGGCCGTAGCCAGGTAATGATGTCGAAGGAGGGGTTATATGAAAGAGGGGAATAAAAAGAGTTTTTAAAAGAATCCAATTACGAATTATTTCCCCGTGTCGTTGCATAGATGGGGTACTATTTTGAAGCATGCATTTTTAAGACCCTTTAAAAAAATACAAATAAAGAATAGCCAATGCATTCTGTACTAAATGGGTGATTAACAAAACTGAATTAAAAAAATGAAAAATAAATTCCAAAAAGTTCTGGGAGACAAACCTGCCGACCTAAAATCGTTGGTACTACGATTTGTTGTATTGATGATGGAAGGTCAATATGGCGACCCTGCCGCAAATTTCCGTTCCCTATACAAGATGGTGATCGGTGGCACAAACTCGTATAGGATATGGAAGTAGTGAATGTATTTACATATCCTATCCGATTTCGTGATCGTGATCAATTATGTGTAATGTAAACATTGCACTATCCTCATTTGCATTTTCAAAACATTGGAACCAAGTAATAAAGGGCATTTTGGATACAGGCAAAAAATAATGAAAAATATGAAATATTTTCGATTTTTTTTGGATCTTGGTAATTCCGTTGGACAATCCAGTTTGATTTTGTAACTTTTGAATAATCTTTGATCCAGTTAACTGCATCTTCTTTGCAAAATTCGGGTCTAAATTTTGTTCGCAGTTCTACATTTTTCTTTGCGTCTTCTTCACTTCACTTTTATAACTTGACACTGTTTATCAAATATGCTATATTCCGCTAGCAAATCACGAAATCGGATAAGGATATGTAAAAACATTCACTGCTTCCATATCCTATACGAGTTCGTGCAACCGATCACCATCTTGTATAGGGAACGGAAATTTGCGACCCTGCCACCTTCGTTTTGCGCATAAATTTCGTACTTTTAAAATCCATGGGATACTCAAAATGTAATCGCCACGTTGGATTGGAAACGATCTTGACTAAACCACCAAAGTCGGTTTTTTTCTTATCCCAAGAAATGTTACTTACTGCAAGTAAACCAGTTATTTGCTAAACGATATTTACCTAATAATTTCTTTATACATTAGTTTGTAAGTAAAAAAACCGGCACCTTAGTTACGCAACTGACCTTCAAACAGTTTACTTTGTTTCTGAATAACTTGCTTACACACGTTTTTTTTCTTCTAGGAATGCACATCATTAAGGCTAAAGGGGATACACATCTTAAACCAACCGTTTATTTTTAAAATGCTATGGTCAATATTTAAACCATTTATAGGACAAAAATTAAGGAAACGGGTTAGTTGAACAAACTATTTGCCCACACTAAACATTTATTTAACTTCGGCATTTTAGATATTCTTTCACGGTACCGATATAGCATCATTTCATTCTCACATTTCCCCAGAGCTGTTACCTAAAGCGTACTATGGCAACTTAGATATTCCTCATTTGCCGGGAGCCTTACTTGCTGAAATGCTACTAAAGTATGATCCTGAGTTTGAGAGTAAGTAACGCCGTTTGGTATAGTACACGTTATTTTACTCTTTCTGTCTTTCAGTGTGCTCCAAAATTGGGTATACCAAAGAAAACTGTAAATCCACATGATTCATCATTTTGGCGGTAATGGTTTACGAAACACGGTAGGAACCATTCTGGTTGTCAATTACAGATTTATTGTAGGTACTTTTTAATAGTGTTTATATGTTAAAATAAACTTTTGTGAATGTTTGTTAAAATCAATTTCAAGTAATTTGAAACAATTTGTGCAATCTTAAAATATAAAAAGGCGAATTTTCTATAGTTCCTTTTCTATGCATGTTTTTTTGACATTCCAGTAAAAAATAGTAGCTGAAGAGATGTGGAGAGATGTAGTGACGAGCGGATGTAGATATTTTGTCACACATAACAGAAGACTTTACTATAAAGTATCTTTTACCAATAGCATTCTTATAAAAAGTAGCTTCAGGAACCGATGAATGATGGGAGATTGGAGGGCATCTTTTCGCGCCTGTCTAAACTTGAATATAAGTGTATTCCTGAAAAGCAAAGGCTTAGATATAGTCTTACCCCTAAAATTGACAGAAAGTCGACTGAAAAATGAATATTTCTGAAAGAGTACCTATAGCCTGAAGATGTAGCAGAAGTGAGAAAAATGTATTGTTCTTAAATATGTGGTCACAAAATTTAGTCATATTCTGACTATTTTTATGGTCTGATAAAAAATGCTTTGCGCAGTGGCAATATTGTAACCGATGAAGTATAACTGAGGTGCAATTATTGCTAGTTGGAAACTTTATTTCTTCATGAATTTTCAAACAATAATTGCATATTTGCTATTCTCCTTTTTAAAAACCCCAGACAACAAATTTGGTCGAGATCAGAATGTTTCACTCACACGTTTGGGTTTGCATATATTAGGGTAGGACCTAGGACATTAAAACATGTTTGAAGAATCAGACAGAAAGGTCTTACTTGCGTAGTTCCAAAATTTTAGATTAGGTATCCGTTTGTTTACCAGCGCAGATTATAGAAAAATACCTATTTTCGTTCGAGCCCGACTTTACCGATTGGGAAATAAGAATAAGCGCATATTGGTTATACTTAGGGAATGCAGTGAATAAAGATTCATTGAGGGAATGCAATCCCGCAGCAAAATCTCGGTCTCGGTATTTGCGGGATCCCGCATTTTAAATAAATTGGCAAATAAGTAATTTTGTGCGGTTAACTTTTGTATTAAAATAAAAAAGTACCTTCAAAAAAACCTCCCCTGTAAAGCACAAAAAGTAAACTGCCTCAAAAATCATAGTAAATTTTTAACGCAAAAAGTTTAACAATTATTTTAAAAATAACTTCTCCGTTATCCGTTTCATTAACAAAGTTTGCCCCTTGGTCGACAAATTGCTCAGTCCCGCAAATCTCGCGGGATCCCGCTCCATTTATGTACGGGGCTAATCCCGCACCAAAATTTTGATCCCGGTATTTGCGGAATCATTAGATAGTAATCCCGCAGGATCCCGGTATTTGCGGGATCCCGCAAAGTTTTAAAAACATTCGTCTTTTCTTGTCGCCGGTGAGTAATCGTTTATGACCTCTCCATGTCTATCTGGATTTCTAGAATATTCGCTGCAATATTTCCATACATCTTTTATAAACAATCGATGAGTCCGACATATTGTCTACAAGAATAACGGTTCCTGCGTTTTAAAACAGTAGCAAAATAAGTCCGATTTGCGTACTCACTCGCACACAAAGTTAATGACAGATACGGATTTGCGAGTGTGTGCGTTTACAATGAACGTATACGTAAGAAATACATAACACGTAAAAATTTCGCAAAGTTGAACTGTATAGAAACATACGAAGGTGTTTACAATGAACGTAATTTTACGTACGTATATGTAAGCGATATGTAAGTCTTGCGCATAGTCGCAAAGGTTTAAAAATGTTTCAAAGTTACATAATTATTAATTAATTATTAATAATTAATAAATTATTGCATGAACTAGCAACAACAAAAATCTGCGAAATAATCAAATTCGCAGAGTGGCTATAATGTATGGTCGTTAGCTTTGTCGATAAATTCTGCAATCCCGCAAATCCCGCGGGATCCCACTCCATTTACGTACGGGATTAATCCTGCAAAAAGGCTGCGGGATCCCGGTATTTCGGGATCCCGCGATCCCGGTATTGCAGTCCCTAGACACGACTTAACTTAAAGATTATTTACCTACAGGTAGATGGTGCTAGGGGTTTGTTACACATTCTTTCTTAGGCTCCTTTAGGCGTCCCGAAAGTGGTCGAGTCTCTTCGTTTCCCGTCTGCATATTGTTAGACTTTATCTTGTCCTTCTTGGGACAGCCGAGCTGTTCGCAGTGTATCGGTTAGTTGAAGCAAATACGGCGTGACTTCTGGAATGAAATTCTGAGTTAAGATGATTGGGTGCTGACCTCTGGTTGCAGTAGTCCTTATGCCGATGTTAGGTTAGACGCGTTAAATTTCTGGCACTCGGGACAAGTTCGGATGTAGTGGGATACACATTTTCTCGTCCCACCCACCCAGGAATATCGACTGGCAATGCGGTCGCCACCAAAGCGCCCTGTTGTTAGAGAATCGTGGTAGTTTTGGAGAATACGCTGTCTTTCTGATGCGTGAAGTTGGGCGTCGGGGGCGTCACCCCTTGGTTCTAGTCAACGGAGCTGACAGAGGGTGTTTCGAAACAATCGATGACCTTGCGGAGTTCGGGATTGTTATTTGTCATGTCACATGAGGCAGACATGCTGGGCGCGATAACGTGTCGGCCACCACGTTGGCTTTCCCTGGATGTACCGGCAGGGTCAGGTTGAACGGGTGAAGGGTGTTTTGATAGGCATCAGCCACTTGAGGGGTTGGTGGTCGGTAGTCAGTGTCGTAGGTACTCCTTCTCCACGATCCATACGAGGGCAAGGGATTTCGCGTACCGTCGTCATTTTGCACTAACATTGCGGTTAGCTCTCTGTTCCAAATAGCTGCTTATAGCTTTTGATGTGTCGCATTGGTGTCGCGCCCGTATTCCATAGATTGTTCATGCATGAATGAGCACGTTTTTTGGGGTTGAGTAGCATTCTGGACGAAGTCGACGCCTAATAATAGCTTCGTGTATGCGCTCTTACTGGTGCTTTGGAAGGTGGATTTCAATTAGTTGCTGTGAATAACTCCTGGTTCTTCGCAACGGTAGCAGCTGATTCGTAGGGGTTTCGTAGTAGGTTTCGTGGACCTTATAGGTGTAGGTGCGGTAGAGATGGTGGATTTCCGCCCCCTGCGCTTGCGATACTCTTCCCTTGTGTGTCTACTGTTGCGGCTGTATGAGTAACGTTGTTTTGATTCGTTGATTGACTGATCGACCGCTGGAGTTCGTAGCGGCGGTATTGGACGAAGCCCCGTCGTTCGGCGACGAACAGATACTTTCCGTGTAGTAGCATGGATAAGCCTTGCAACGCATTCTCTTCACTAATGCCCTCGCAGTCCAGTTTGTATTGCGTCCACAAACGCATTAATGTCCTTGTTACCCCCTGCGAATCGTATCTGGCTCTTGGAGAACGAGCCTTGGTGGTAGGTGCATAACTACGTGATTAGTTGTTGCAGTTCGTTCATTGAGGAGGTAAGCGGCGGGTTTCCTTCCGGCATTTCCCTTCATGCCTGTACTCTGTTCTTCGTGATTGTGATCCTTCGGGCCTTGAGGTTGGGCCCCACATATTGGAAAACTCTCTTTTCCGCATAGGACAATTTTATGTGAGGTTTCGGAAGATACACAGTACACACTTACACAGACGTATGTACAAACTACTGCAATAATTGTTTCTTGGTGGCTAATGCTTGGCACATAATAATATCCCAGATTTATCTGTGATAATATAATGTCAAAACGTGATTAAAACAAATACAAAGAACATGTACTGAATTCCAATAAGCCACCCACGGAAGCGTCTGTACTTATTATCGTACTGAAAACTTGATCTTGTTTTCCTACGGCCGCGGCAGGTGCGCGGGTTCTTGTTGCGGGCTGCTAGTAAATCAAGGGGTTACCATTCGCCTGGCGTTCTCTAGGACGGGTTTGCTATGCAGATTACTTATAAAGGAGCTGTTGTGGCACGAGTTAGCCTAAAGATCATTAACATGTGTTTGGGACTAGCAGTTTGTTACAATTGTATATTTTGAGGTTCATATTTTTCGCTTTTTTTCTAACTGCTCTTAGCGTTTTATCGCCTTTTTGTATTTCGATAGTAATGACCATGGTTCTAAGAAATTACTGAAGACTGCTAGCATTTTAATTGTTCCCTATAAATTTCCGTGAAATTTCAGCGAGGACTCGCAAGTAGCATCAAGTCAGTATTGTTGAAAGATTTCTTTAAGTCAACGGGGTGGCATAGGTATAGGCCTAAAAAAAAGCAGTTAAATGTCAAAAATTTTGAAAGATCCTGAATAACTTTAAAACCTTTGTTGCTAGGTATATTGGAATGTGGTATCTATTTAAAACAAGAAAGTTGCTATCCTAATCTAGTAAAACAGTTTTAGTAAAACGTTTTGATCTGGGAACATTTCCATGAAGCTCCCCAGGCAATCTCTATATAGAGAATGCGTTGGCCCAGATTATCGCAAATTCGAAGTTGACAGACACTACAACTATCTACTCCAACATTGTTTCAGAAGAAAATGAGATAAACCTGAATTTACTCAACAGCATAGAAATGACAACAAAAACTGTGAATATGTTCTTGAATGAAATCTTATAATACAGACCATTTAAATTGAAACCATTGAGGATTCTCTTTTTGAAGACATGCCTACTGGATCATGCAAAAAGTGAGAATGCTACTGCGTTCCCTACACATCTCTACTGCGAAACGTACGTCAAAATAATAGCCAATTGTAATTAATATCATATCAGTCAACCAATATAAAAATATATCCTAAGAACTATACAGTATAAATATGTAATACTTTGTGCCATTAAAATTAAAAAAATCCGTCTTCAATGGTTCTTCACCATCTTTTTATATCCATATGAGTTAATTGCTTCGTACTCTTTGTCGCTCATTACGAGTAACTGATGCCATTGACTACCAGTTATTCTTGGTAACGATAGCGTTCCGCCGTAACATTCCGGTAAGTACTCTGGGCTAATGTATTCGTGAAGCGATTTGCGATTAGTTCCATGGAAAATAATTCGGCTCTTCAATTTGTCTTTCAAGAATGGTTTGAATAAATTAAACACAACGTTGAAGATGAAAGGCTCGTTGACGATGTGGATGTTTTTCAAACGGAGGGGGATGGCATCCTGAAGAATGAGAAATGACACAACTATCTTTGATGACTATTGCTGTTTACCTGTAGCCAGTCCACAATTCGTTTGGCAAACGAGGGCGTAAACTGCCAGGTTTGCTGTAAGCTAAGTCCTTCCATGTCGAAAATTACGATGGCGCCGGCAACTTGTGTCACATGCTCTAACATCGCAGCTTCTAGGAAAAGTACGCAACCTTTGAAGACTTCGTCTAATGAACACTGTTTGTGCTTCCATTTTTCTGAAAAGTCACATCAGCATCGTGTAATGGGCGGTTGACGAGATACTCACTGCCTAACTCAATTACTAGAATTCTTCTACCCAGTTGATCTCGATTGGGTTGTACTGTTAAGATATTTTGTTGAAATATGTTACTTTCTTTACTAGGTGTTAGTTCGTCGTATATCTCCGCGTGTTTCTTTTTAAATGCGTAGTACCTCTTAATCTGAAAAACAGCATGGTCGTGTATTGATAATGGTGCACTGCTGGTTACTTACAAGTTCACAAGCGCTCTCTGGGTAATATTTACATGGTCGTAGAAACTTGACTAGGTAGGCGTCGTTATCAATTGGTATCCAAAGGTCAGGTTCGTCTGGAAAAAGTGGATTATTTTAGTGCATTACTCAAAGTAAGGATTTTGCTATGAAAAATGTGTTTTTACTAAAAAAAGATGTTGGTACGGTCGTGCAAAATAAAAAGATACCTTAAACGGCAGGCTAAAAAAGTGTTCTTTGCTATTTGATAGCAATTGAATCACATTTCTAGAAACACATATTAAACGAAGACCAAGCAGTTGTGGAAGGAATTACTGTATAGCGGCATTGTTGAACAATAAAGAAATAATCAAACTTATGTAGGCTAAGTTACGTAAAGATGAAAACTTTAATCAATGTTTAACGTAAGAAAGAAAATATAACGGTAGGCTGCCTCTAATAACTTTTGCTCGTAAAAACTCCTAGACTTTCACAACAATTTTTAATAATTTGCATTATGGCATGCACATTATTGATCACAACACTGAAATGGGATTGTGTTGTGAATTTGATATGTAAGCATTTGTGCCCGAAGATTGGGTTGCAGGTTAAATCCAAATGACAAAGTAACCTTGATGGGCAATTTTTACGATTGATTGCTGTTCGTCGAAAAGAATTTGAAAGTTTACCAATAGTACATTTCCACACATTACCTTTAAGCAATTCACGCAGCTCGGCAAGAGATTCTTCTTTCTTTTCGGGAGATTCCCTTAGCTCCTTCCTGGCGATCTCTTGAAATTCGGGCGTAAGGTCATCCAATTCAAATTTTAGAGAAAAGTCTCCTAGTTGGATCACTGGAAACGTATCCAAATCGGACAGCATTGTATCGGCAACTAGGCAAAAAAATAGACATTTTAGATTTTAGATGTAAGAGTGTCTCACGTGTATTTTGTTATCGCTAAACAAATAATAGTAAATAGCAAAATGCCAATGCAAACATAAAAGGTACCAATGTCAAGTTATACGCGTTATTGCACTTGTATCAAGGCTATAGATTTGTTTTTAAAGGTTGATGATTGGTTTTTGTTGTATTGTTCCAATCTATGTTTAACATTAATGAATACACTTATGGCCCGAATTTGAGAAGGTCCCGTTTCAATGATTTATCCAAAAAAATCAAAGACAACCTTTAAAAACGATCAAAATTGTAAATTAACTCACATCTCGGCATCTTTACGAGGAAGACCAATTAATTCACAAAAGAAAGTAACCCACTGCCGAACTTTCTACTACTACTGCATTAGCCCCGAAATTCTTCGTGAAACTAACAGTACCAATATCGAAATCAACTTTGTAGGTTCGGAATCTTTTTGAGGCAAAATTTAAGCATGCGCGCGGTTTTATAAGTCTTTTGTAATGCCACGATAGGTAATTGTGGATTACCCATAAATGATAAGTCACGTGACTTTGCCAGAATGTTAATAACGTATGTATCTCACTTCCCTAATTGCAAATTAGAAATTTTATATGGCAAAAATATACCTAGACTTATTACTAATTAGAATGAAATGCGTCATCGATATCAACTGCACCTCAGGGTACCACAATTACATGCTCCTTTGGTGACCTTGCAACGTGAATAAGGAAAATGCAAGAAAGAATTCCGATATTTTATTCATATGCATCGATCGTGTTTAACGACATTTTTGCAGTTGCTTTGAATATCGCCTTACTCTTTAGTTGTGTGGGTTTAAATCAGCCTAGTAATTGCAAAATAATTAAGATAAGATCATGACCGAGGTTGTGGACGTTATACAACCAACAGGATGTTGGGCATCATCTCATTCTGACATCCTTTGATAGTAGATACGGCTCCCAATATGCGCAATTAAAAAAAACGACGTAAACTAACTTTAGGTAAACACTAATTAGTTGAGTATGTTTGTATTTCCATTTAAAACATCCTACAAATAAATGACAATAGTAGGTAAACTGTAATGGCATAAAAAATGGAAACGAGTACGATAATATTTGAATCTTGTTTTCGCTAGTGCGTGAAGTGAAGGATTTTCCCTTTTGTGGGAAATTTTGAGCAATGTTACCTTTTATGTACAAGTTGAAAGTGCTTTTTTTCATGATCGATTGATAACGCTAGTAGGTATTCATTAAAATGTAAAAATGATTCCCTTTGCATAACTGCTTGAATGTTGACAAAAAAGTTTACCATTTGTAAAAAACGATACTACCTGTAAAATTGCTAATGGCCTTCAAGGATTTAAAGTTTTTTTAATTGCGTTACGGAAATATGGTCACGTGTTGTTTACCTACTGTTAATTTTTATTTGCTACCTGTCTTTCAATGACATTTAAATAAGGTTTCATCGATTCGACCGACAGCTTCAAGTTCAACCATTGAATAAAAACTTCAATGGTTCAGCTTATTTTCATCCACCTTTCGGCTACCACGTCAGACTACAAACGGGTATTTTGGCAGACGGCTATCAAAGTTTTAATTTTATAAAGATAAGAAAATTTTCAACAAAAGTCCTGAAAAGGCAACAAATGTGAAGTTACTTTACTTAAAAAGGCAATAGATAAGCTAATATTGTCAACATAAAAATTTTCGGCCTCGAGCAAGGATCTTTAGGCCATCTTATGTACTACAAAAGGTTCAGTTGCACAAAAGGACAGCGAAATTCCACCCAATTGAAATAGTATTTTACATTATTAGCCAGGTAAGTGAGTTTTTACTGGCGATAGGAGAAGTTGACTGGCGAGCCGTTAGGCGAGCCTGTCATCTCCTAGAGCCAGTAAAAACTATTACCTGGCGTATAATGTACAATATTTTATTTGTTACTCATTTGTAAACGTAAATAATTAGTTCTTAAATTGATCTTGAAGAAATGTCTAAAATATCATGTGATCCATGTAACAGAGACTTCGCATTAATTCTGGCCAATGAAATTACTAGATTACTAACTTGTAAAATTTTTACAGGTCTGCTGTCAGTTTTACAAGTCTGCTGTCAGTTTTACAAGTCTGCTGTCAGTTTTACAAGTCAGTAGCGTTTAAACATGACGTTTACCCGTTTGCGTTTTGTCTTGTTAATCAACGTTTACAACTGAGTAACAAATAAAATGTTTTACAAGTATGCAAAGGAATGATGGATCTTACATGAATCTCATTGTTATGCAAGTAAAATAATTCGGGAACACTTTTCATGTTGCAGATCACGATTCCCAACGTGTCACAAAATCGAATCTAACAGTCACAAAAATGAATTTTTTGAAATACTAGAATTTTCGAAAAGGTTTTTAATTGGCAGTATACTAAAATTTGATTCGGTTTTGTTTGAGCGGTTTCCTTATTATGAGGTTCTAAAATTAAGTGTTACACAGAAAATCAATTATAAGTTACAAAACTATTTACATTTATGAGTCAACGCCATGCATATGATTGTCTAAACTACATGGGGGTGTCATTCCTTTACGTTAAACAATGCCGAAGTTGAGAGCGAACCACCTGTTAAAATACGTGTTGTTACTGTTTCGGTCTGAATATCGAAAATAGTATGTAACAGGTTAGTTCATAAGATCTGTCATTTTAATGTTAGTTGCTAAGGGTAACTAAGGGAGCATTTAATCGAAATTTTTACGTGAGTTTAAAGTTTTATCTGGTCTGGTGTTGATAAAAAGTTATTATCGGACAAGAATAAACTGGATTTTTGACAAATATAATAATAATTTATTCATGTAGTTGTTGCAGTAAATAATGCCCCGTGCGAGATAAGCGATGCAGGTGTTTTGTGAGTGGTGAGGAAGAATGAAGACTACACAAGGCTGCCTCGGGTTACTTTGAAAGAGAGCGGTAGTCCAGCCGGAGTCCTCATATTAGTAAAATAATGCGAAAACAAGTTTAATGATGTGCAAGAAGTTTTTACCCATTCGAGTTTAAAAAGTTTATCAATAATGAACAAATAATTGGTGTAATACAAGAGAAGTCGTACCATACGACTAGCCACAAAGTTAGGTGTTGTTGTCTTCGAGCCAGCTGTGGTGTATTAAAAATCAGTTATTTGTAGGAGAATCTGTCAGATTCGTGTTAAAGTGTGTGTTTCGCTCAACATCGCATATTTCTTGTCCTGGCCAGTTTAATACATTATTCTTAACAGAACTGTAACTAATTTTTGAGATCGCTTAATTTGTTTTTAGATCGACCGCTTGCAAACGGGGTGTACTGTATTCAAAAGGCACTGTTAGCCTTATATTTTCCTGTCATGATGCGTATGTGCCAATCCAGGTAGAGCTTTACTTTTCTATGTCAGATTTTTCTCATTTCTTTGCATCCGAATGTTATTTCGGATTTTATTCAAAATTTGAGTAGTGATTTCATTGGAATTTGATTGAGGCCTTCGAGTCTTTCAAGTTTATAAGGGTTTTAAGTTAATCCTAAGATTTGTTCATGTATCGGAACCCAGTTGTGCCCTGACTTTTGAATATGTTGTTAGGGCCACTACCAGTAGTGTATATTCAAGTTTTCAGCTTCGAAAGACCTCTACTAACTTTGCAGGACTCGAAAACCGCCAAATTTTCGCACTGGTTTTGATTTTTTGAATATAAGTCTTAAACTATGCATTCTGCTATAACATTTGATACCAGAACTAGCTCTGTAGGTTCAATACTTGAGTCAATTTTCGACCCCCTTATTGAGGAAAATTTCTTTATCTTAAAAGAGATCAAGGGCATTCGTCTTTCACAAGGATGTGACAAAGCAATAAGGACTAAGAGAAACTCGATCCTCTTTCCCTTCCAGTGGCGGGACATCAATCCTACTTCTCAAGAACCATGACATTTTTCAAATGTTTAGTGCCAACTTTAAAATTGACCCAGATAAAATAGAATCAAATGGGCCAACCTCAAAGTGCCAAGCGGAAAAGATGAGGGTTTGGACCTCCACCTCACTATAGTTGGAAAAATGCAAACCCTTTTCCATTCAATAGGTCACTTTTTCACGCAAGCTGTACCTACCTACAAGACATGGAAGGGTTACAAGAGAGGATGGACCCAAAAGAATAGAGCATGTTCTCAAAAGGAGCCTTTACGAATCTCCGCTAAGAAAAATGTTCGTCAAGGAAATAGCTAAATTTAACCATGGTTGGGGAACATCATTCCGGAGACATTTTAGGACCTTTCATGTACCAACAGTGAGCAGCATGGTAATATGAGCCGTAGATGGAAATAGACAGTAGTGAAGCAGTACTTTGACATCCAGTCTCCCCACCCTCGGATTTAAAACAAAGGCCCCAAAGAAATTTGATAATATCCACTACAAGGAGTGCACGATGCTAAATGGTCGTAGGCACCTATGGAACGTTGCAGATTAGTTGGTAGAAAGAAAAAAAGTCATATGATGCACATCCCTCCACCACTGGGCTCTTCACTTTTTTAATAATGTACAAAAAATAGTCACATGAAAATACTCGAGCTGGTCTGATATTGATCCCGCATATGCCACACGTGTCTCTGATATTGGAAATTAACCTGCCGGTTTTCATTGTGGGGCGGCTGTAAGGAAAGGAAGAAAACGGGATTTGTTCGGGCGCGATCATATTACTTCTGTTATTCTTGAATCATTTCCTTCAAAATGAGAAATATCCAACGCGCTCGAAAGAGACATGGTAAGGTTTTTTTGCGTTTGTCTTCCCACTCCCTCACGTCACGCGTAAATTGTCAGATTATAGAAATGCACACTTTTCAACACGTCAACTCCCTTTATTCTAATCTGCTCCGTTCCAGTAAATCCCAAAATCCCCTATTGGGCTCCCTTACTATATGTCAAATAACAGTAATTGCGTGTTATGGAAAATTTGAAAGTAACCAGTTTTAATGCAGTGCAGAATCTTCTCTGAAAGGAACAAATACAGATTATACGTAAGACAAAAAGGGATAGAATGAAGTGCAGAAAGATACATAGCGTGACCTCTAGCGGCGGAAATAAAAAACTATCGTAAATGAAACCTATAATACTCAACGTGGTACATCTAAACTAAACGGGTTTACGAAGGAAATACATTGAGGCCGTAAGCCGTATATAAATTTGGCACTTTAAATTGGTAAGAGAAGGAAGTTACACTCTTGTAACTAAGAAAATACGGGGCCATTTTGATATTTTTTTTAATTTTCCCTCATCTCTTTTAAGCCAAATTTTGACTTTACTATTTTAAGTTTGAGACAAAAAGAGTAGATACATGTCTATATTACCTTTTTTATAGCACTAACGATTACGGAGATTTTTGGGGCCACAAATTGCAAAGACGAATTTTTCTTCCAGGCAAATCTTGCGCGCTGTGAATAAAACTGTCCCTAGATTCATCCTGGGCCAATTGTTT